AATACCTGGGAGTCCCAGTGAGCCCTAGTAGGCTACATCTGATTGATTGGCTCCCGTTGACTGAAAAATGTAGTAAAAGGTTGGATGTGTGGAAGGGGGGCAACATGACTATGGCTTGGAGTACCACTCTGATTTGTACCGGTCTTAATAATTCACCTTTGTATCACATGTCTGTGTTCCTGTTACCTAAGACCACTATCAAAAACATTGATAAGCTTAGAAGAACTTTCTTCTGACAAGGGGGTGGAACCAAGAGGAAGTATCACATGGTGAAATGGACTAAATTGTGCAAGAGTAAAAAGAAAGGAGGGTTGGTATTAAAGACATTGCAAAGCTGAACATCAGCTTGCTGTGCAAATGGTGGTGAAAACTAGAGAAGGAAGAAGGGCTGTGGCAAGAATTAGTTAAAGCCAAATACTTATCTAGAACAAACATCCATAATGTCTCTCATAAACTGAATGACTCGCCCATTTGGGCAGATTTGCTCAAAATTAAACCAATTTACCTACAAGGCAGATGTGTTAAGATTGGGAATGGGGCCCAAACAAGATTCTGGGAAGACAATTGGCTCTCTGATAGTCCTTTGTGTTCCTTGATCCCTGTTTTATATGTGTTGTGTGAGCAAAAGGAAATTAGTGTGGCTGATGTAAAAAATGGAGTAATTAGTATCACTTTTAGAAGATGGCTGCCTATTGAATTGCAAAATATCTGAGGTATGATTTGGTCCAAAGTCATGGACTTTCAGTTATCTACTGCTGAAGATAAAGTTGGTTGGAAAATTGGAAAGAAAAATACATTTACTGTTAAATCAACTTATGATGCCTTAACCAGTGTGGACTCTGGTCATCACTTTAGACACATTTGGTAAGGGAAGATCTCTGCGAAGCTGAAGTTTTTTCTTGTGGTTAATGGAGAATGGGGCCATTTTAACCAAAGACAACCTGATAAAACGAAATTGGAAAGGCAATCCTGAGTGCTATTTCTGTAATCATCATGAATCTATAAATCATCTTTTTTTTTGCGCAAAAAAATCATCTATTTTTTGGTTGCTCGGTGATTGCTCGGTAGCCAAAGTTGTTTGGGCCTGCATTGCTAAATGTCTTGGTGCAAATGATATCCCTCATGATCTTAAACATTGCTGGATATGGTTAGACAAATGGCTCCCTACTGCCAGGAAGGTCCATGTGTGGGGGTTGCCGCTATTTGTTGGGCCATTTGGAAAGCAAGAAACAGAGCTTGCTTCGATAAGAAACTGATAAAAAAACCCATTGAGATTATTTGTCACGCAAGCGCACTAATGAAATTTTGGGCATTTTGGTTGCTCGGTGATTGCTTGGTAGCCAAAGTTGTTTGGGCCTGCATTGCTAAATATCTTGGTGCAAATGATATCCCTCATGATCTTAAACATTGTTGGATATGGTTAGACAAATAGACAAATGGCTCCCTACTACCATGAAGGTCCATGTGTGGGGGGCTGCGCTATTTGTTGGGCCATTTGGAAAGCAAGAAACAGAGCTTGCTTCGATAAGAAACTGATAAAAAAAGCCCCGTTGAGATTATTTGTCACGCAGGCGCACTAATGAAATTTTGGGCAGGACTTTTCGCTGAGGTGGACAGGGAGATGTTGGAAGAGGGTGTATACACCATGATGAATATTGCAATGAACATTTTGACATCAAAGCGGAGCAAGACCTCTTTGGCTCAGGACAAGCAGGACATGAGTGATGGTTATGCATCTGGTAAATGAAGGAAGCTGACTGGAAGCATGACAGGACGTCTTCTGCAGAATAGTGCCAGATGATGGATCTGTTGTGGAGTTCTTCTCTTATCATGACTGGTGGTTATTTTTGAGCCTCTACCTTGGGTCCCTGAGGATCAGGTCCCTTGTTGATGATCTGTATCTTCATCTGGGCACTCCCTTTTTCTAGGCCGCTAAGACGTTGCAGCCGATGCTGTTTCAATGCTAGCTTGTTTTCTGCTGTTATCCTGGTTTCCTCTTGCGCGGGGTGGTTAAGCGCAGTCTGTTATGGATATTGTTAGCTGGTTCTCTTTGATCCACTAGTCTCCTTTTGCGCGGGTTGGTTAAGCGCAGTCTGTTAGCTCTTACCTGCTTCTTCTTAAACATCTAAACTCTATTTCCGTTCTTAATGAATGGGAATGGGGAATCTCCCCGTATCGAAAAAAAGGCGCCGTCAGTCCTCAAGCCGCCAGCCATGTATGACGCGGCGCGGCAGTCGTCAAGGCCAAGGGCAGAGGGGCGTTCATCGCCCACTTCTTCGTCCTCTACGTCGTCACCCTGTGCATCGTCGTCTACGCCGCGTGCGACTTCTCCGGGACCACACTGTACGGCGGTGGCGCCATCTTGTCGGCATCTCCGCGCCAAGGCCTAGCTCGACGAGTCGTACATCGTCGGCACCACCGCTCGGGCCGGAGCACGTTGCTGGCCGCGGCGATGCAGAATGGAAACACGGCAGCGCACTGCATCAGCATCAACAGGGCCATGCTCGTCCCTGCCCAACCACACCACCATCTACTGCGACCACTCCGACATCTGCTTCATGACGGGCGACGTGCGCACGGACACAGCGTCCCTGTCCCTCCTGCTGTTCCCGCCGCGAGCATCAGCGCCGGAGTCTCCATTAAGAGCAAGACGCAGGCCAGCATACTAGCATAGCAAGTCACACAAGGCAGCAAAGTTTTGAAGCTATCCGTAATAACCATTGGGCCCCATGGAGCCAGCAGCTAATACAAATGGAGCAACCGGTGCTCCTCCGCTGCTGAGATGGATCGCTGGATGAATTGGGGTTCGCTCCGTGGATCACCCACCCGATGTATAATTCGGACAAGAGATGCTGAGACGAGAAGCAGCTCTTTTTTCAGTCAGAGAAGCAGCTCCTTTTTTTTTATTCAGAGAAGCAGCTCGAGACATCAAAGTACTGTTATACTCTCCAAATGTGATTAGAGACAAGTTCTGGATCCACATATTTTTAGTTTCCGTTTCGGCCCACAACTTAAGTTTCTTCCAACTAGTTCCTCCTATTTTTAAATCATCAGATCTAACAGAACAGAAGGCTCTCATTATTTCCAAGCTTGGTAAAATTTCACATGGTTTAATATGTAATATTATCCAACTAGTATTCGTGAGGAAAAGGACCGACGCTGCTTCCTCGACCTGTCGTGTCCACCCCTCTAGATTCGATCATACGTACTTGCACACGTAAGTCACTAGTTTCTTTCAGTGCAATCCGTTTATTATATTATTCACTCTCTAGTTTCTGGAGAAACAAAAGATAGGGACCAACGTTTCCTCTCTTAGTCTTTTCAACACCTTTATTGTTGACCCGCGCGCGCGATTATATGGTAAAACCTTGTCGACCTTATTGACGAATCTGCGCCACACGGCACTTGACACGTGCAACCAGCAATTTCTAGCTAGCTTCGGGCCGGTGTTTGGTGTGGTTTTTCTTATTCCACAAGCCAACCGTACGTGCCCGGCAAGAAAACGATGCCTACCACTACTATTTATATCGCACTCGCTCTCTCACGAAGCACACACTGCACAATTTTGGCCTTGTGGTTGTCACAGCACATAACTTGAAAGGAAACGATGGACGACGACGTCGTAGCAGCTGCAGCAGCTTTGCCATCACCGTGGAGCCTGCTCCAGGGGTTCCTTGCCCTGCTGATCGCGTGGGGGAGCTACCAGGCCGCGGAGACATTCTGGCTGCGGCCCCGGCGGCTCGATCGGGCGCTCCGGGCACAGGGGCTTACCGGCACTGAGTACTGCTTCCCGGCCGGCGACCTCAAGGAGAACGCTAGGCTCAACGACGAGGCACGATCGAGGTCTATGCCGTTGTGCCATGACGTAGTTCCCCGTGTGATGCCGCATCTCTTCAACACAGTTAAGGAGCACGGTATGTCGAAAGTAACCACGCGACCCTTTCTTTCTTCTCGCCCGTGCCGTCCTCCCCTCTCTCACCAAACTCACTCGTGTCGCGCACTCCTCTGCCTCACATACCCACCTCCTGTCCCCTCGCGCGAGCCCAGCTGTCTTGCTCATCATGAGCCTTGCCATGCTTGTCTGTGGGCTCACCCAAGGCCGAGGGACCGCATGTACGTAGAAGGCTTAAGTGGGCGTGGACTGGGTTGGCCGTGCTGGCATGCGTCAGCCCACATGTTTAAAAACCTCTTAAACTAAGTACTTAGAAATTTATATTTTTTTGGTGTATTTCATACATTTGAATATACACTTGATACATTACAAATTCAATTCAAAGTCTTCATACGTCAAACACTTCAAATCTTCGTGCTTTAATGAAGCTAAGCATAAAGAGATCTACATATAAGATTTTCGATGAGAGAGACGGAGAGCCAATGAGAAGATATGGCATAAAGGGCTAGAGGCCGTGGAGATGGTGAGTTGGGAGCATTATGAAGAGCACTCGTGGTGGAAAATGACTTGGATATATAGGTCGTGCCGTGCTTTAGACCGTGCTTACGCAGGGCTGCCTACTTGTCACCATCTTCATATTTAAGCAAACAAATTCAGATAGTCCTTTGTCATGCTCATTTTCCTAAATTTGACCATTCCTATAAAATGTAAAGTTCCCTAAATTTTAAAGATTGAATTGAAAGTTTCATAGCTTTAACGGCACATGCAAACGATGAACTGCAGGCGACATTTGTATCACCTGGTTCGGACCAATTCCCAGGGTGGTTATCACGGAGGGAGAGTTAATCAGAGACATCCTATCAAACAAGTCTGGCCACTTCGAGAAGTTCATCGCGAACAAGCGTCTTATAAAAATGCTCGCCCTTGGGATTGCGAGTCACGACGGTGAGAAATGGGTAAAACACAGAAGGATCCTGAACCCCGCATTCCATCTCGAAAAGCTCAAGGTTCTCTAGCTAACTTCCTTCATACAGGAAATCAGCCTCAGTTACGATATGCACGGCCTCAAGCATATAGATATGTGTGCTTACTAAATTTATTTTTTTAGCGCATGCTGCCGGCGTTCTCGACGTGCTGTACTGAGCTTATAGATCGCTGGGAGAACAAGCTCGCTGGTTCTGACGGATCATATGAACTGGATATCTGGCCGGAGTTTCAGAACCTCACTGGAGACGTGATCTCCCGCACGGCATTTGGCAGCAGCTTCATGGAAGGGCGAAGGATCTTCCAACTTCAGGGCGAGCAAGCAGAGCGGCTAATCAAGGCCTTCCAGTATATGTACATCCCAGGCTTCATGTAAGCACCTTCTGATCTGTCACATAGTGCCGTAATTCTAGTACATTAAACGTCATCACATTCATATGCGTGCGCTCATGGCATTATAATATAACTATATATGCAGGTTCTTCCCGACACAGAACAATCGGAGGATGAACGAGATCAACAGGGAAATCGAAGGGACTCTAAGGGGCATGATCGAGAAGAGGGAGCGTGCAATCGAAAACGGCGAAGCGAGCGGCAATGACTTGCTCGGTTTGCTACTGCAGTCGAACATGGAGAGCGGGAAAGGCAGCCTGAGGATGAGCACCGAGGACGTGATTGAGGAGTGCAAGCTCTTCTACTTCGCGGGGATGGAAACCACGTCGGTGCTGCTCACGTGGACGCTCGTCATCCTAGGCATGCACCCAGAGTGGCAGGACCGCGCGAGGGAGGAGGTCCTTAGCGTGTTCGGCAGGGACAAGCAGCCCAATTTCGACGGCCTAGGTCGACTCAAAACGGCAAGTGTTTCTTTGCAATACCATGATACTATACCTACATAGTTTTCTCCAAGCCCATTCCACATTATATTACGTACCTGCCAACATTGTCTGTACCTACATGATATCCAGGTGACGATGATACTTTACGAGGTGCTCAGGCTGTATCCACCGGCAGTGACGCTTAACCGAAGAACATTCAAAGACATGAAGATTGAGGCATCTCCTACCCTGCAGGGGTAATCCTCGAGCTTCCCATAATCGTCGTCCACCACAATCCTGATGTCTGGGGGAAAGACGCACATGAGTTCAAGCCAGAGAGGTTCGCTGAGGGGATCTCAAAGGCGACCAAGGACCAACCAGCATTCTTCCCCTTCGGGTGGGGGCCGAGGATCTGTATCGGGCAGAACTTTGCGCTGCTTGAGGCCAAGATGGCCTTGAGCATGATCCTCCAGCGCTTCGAGTTCCAACTGTCGCCTTCGTACACGCATGCACCGTACACTGTCCTTACGCTGCATCCTCAGCATGGCGCGCCAATTATATTCAAGAAGATCTGATCGTCTTATATGACATCGTCGACGTTGTCAATGAGTATGTCACAGTGCAAAAATAATAAATTTGTATGGGTAATACTGTATTATTATGGGGGGTTTAATTTTGAGTATCTGAATTTTGAGGTGGAACTAAAACGGCGGGAGATATACTGCTTGGAGCTAGGGGTGTAAACAAATCGAATATGGTTGGATACCTAGAGACGAATACAGATAGCTATTGTAAACCTCATATTCGAATTTGGTTACAAATATTTTAGATATGATACGAATGGATATTGACATCATATATATCCAAATTTGAGTATCCGAATATGGATACGGTATATATTGTGAAAGTGGGTGAACGAGTTGCCTCTCCCTGACAACTTGGTTCCATGTTTATAGAGACTAGGAACAGCCCCTGGTGTGGCTTGTACAAAAAGTCAGGTTTACAAAGAGATAGACTCATCTATAACAAACTACCAAACTTCCTATCTTGATGTACAAGGCATGGTGCACGCCTAACAACCCTTGGGTTACACGTTTCCCAACACCCCCACTCAATCTCAGCCAACCACTAAGAACGTATGAACCGAATGTCCAGCAGCTTTTGCGCTACTCTCTCTCTCTAACAAAATGAAAAATCTATATCAATATGCTTAGTACGTGCATGAAACACTGATTTACCGAGAGATAAGTAGCACCAATATTATCATACCACAGCGCCGAGCTACATGAGGATGTTGAATTCCCAATTCATCAATCAACTTTTGGACTCACATTATCTCTGTTGTTGCGTTGGCTAATGCCTTGTACTCAACTTTAGTACTCGACCGTGATACTGTACCTACTAATTTTTGACCTTGTTGCACCGACAAATTTTTGATGTAATAGGGCCAAAATTGATGCAATAGCTTGTTATCGCACCAATTTTACGTTTGATGAGAGCCGATGCAAGAGATCTCGATGCAATAGCCTTGTCGCATCGGTTTGATGTGACCGATGCGAGAGCTACTATTGCATTGAGCATCGTTGTCTCTTGCATCAGAATAGGGAGATGTAAAAGGGTTATTGCATCCAAATCATTTTGAGACGAGGTCACTTTATTGCATCGGGCCATGGGTGTCTCTTGCATCACGATAGAGAGATCAAAAAGTTTATTGCATCATAATAATGTTGATGTAAAACATCTAATAAATTTGATGCAATAAGAATTTCTATTGCAACAGCTAATGTTCGGTGCAGTAGACCATATTACATGGACATTAGGTTCGACACAATAAAACCATATTGCATCGACATTAGGTTTGATGCAATACAACCTATTGCATTGACATTAGGTTTGATGCAATACACCCTATTGCATCCACATTAGGTTCGATGCAATTTAACCTATTACATCTCCACATGATCAGGAGATGTCTGGGTTTTTGGCATCCGACGTCACAACTTGCTCGAAACCTTCACAATTTTTTACCACAACCTCCACATGCGATAACACGACGCCTCGACAAGTTTCGTGATTTTCGGACTTCGTTTGCATTTTATATAATTTAAAATCACATTTCCGGCAAGTACCTCGATATGTTACGTCAACGAGATGCTCGAGATTTCATGTGAGTTCCTGGATACGGCCTAAACATACCCTAAATATCATGAGTATCAATTTTTGGATGACCAAAGTCCATTATTCCATGTACCTGCAGTTCAAATTTGAAATATCCCGAAAAATTCGACGAAATGAAATAAACTAATGAAATATATCAAAAAAAGTCAAAATTACCCCAAATTTTAAAATAGAGTTTGAAATACTGTCACAAGGCCCCAGAAAAAAATTTAGACCCAAAATAAAAAAAATATTTTGTCGAGTGCCATGGGGGCACTTGGCAAAGTGGCCTTTGCCGAGTGCCGGCCCAGGGGGCACTCGGCAAAGTTGATTTTCAAAAAAAAAAATTGCCAAGTGCCTGGCGCTGGCACTTGGCAAAATAAGTTTTAAAAAATTAAAAAAAAAATTTGCCGAGTGTCCAAGGCTTACTTCATTAGGTAAGGAAAAAAACAAAAGAAAAGGTTGGGAAGAGCAGCATGGACACCACGTGCGGGGGTGCCACAATTTTTAAAAGGCCCAAAGTAGGAAATTGCTCTGGGTGGGAGAAGCAAGAGATAGAAAATGGAAAAAAAAAACAGACGTCAGAACATTAGAAGAAATAGAAAGGGAAACCAACGCGGAAAGGATACGGGTGATTAGGCTGGACCAAACCTTTTTTCCGGAAATCCTGCCTCTTTAGTATTAGGTAGGCAGTAGGTATAGGTATAGACAAACCGAGAAAAAAGTGAAAAAAAACAAAGAAATTATACCCTTCTTTCCTCTTTATTAAATTTGTATTCTTATATTTTTGTGTTTGATTAAGATTTCTATTCCGGTTACTCGGAGTTGGAGAGATCTAATTGGATTAGATTCCCAGTTGTCTAAGATTCATATTTACCCGAAATCGGAGAGATATAAAGATTCCTAGTTATCTAAGATTCCTATTCACCCGAAATCGGAGAGATCTAATTGGATTAGGATTCGTAGTTATAAAAGAGAAGGGCTATAGACGGTTTTCCATATTCACAAAGTTACTTAAGTGATGCTCGGACAAAAAATAGGTGAAGAGAAATTTTACCTTTTTATTATTAGGTATAGATATAGATCACTAGCCATTGGCCAAGGTCACGTTTCTGATTCCTAATCCGAGTAGGTGAGAGGAATTCGAGATCCAAAGATTCGGAATTTGAATCAAACCTTTCGCTGCAAGAATCACCCAAGAGGCCAAGAACTTTCTCCTCCGACCGTTCCAACTGGAATGATAGGTTTATTTGTATTAACATTGATTAGCTGGAATAGTTTCCAGCCTTAATCCAGGCCTAAACGAATGAGGCCTAAATTGGATTCCTTCCCCAATTCAGCAAACCTGCGGAAAGGCATAGACCAAACAGAAGGTAGCGTTCATCGGCCGGCGGCCGGCGGCTGAATCGATGAAGATGGCAAGTAGAGGTGAGATGGGGAGCACTGGGACTCTGGGAGGTAGACGGGGATCGGAGTCACTAGCGGTGGTGCTCCCTGCAGGCCTGCGGCTAAAGATATGGAGGAGGGGACTGCAGAGGAGTGAGGAGATATGGGAGAAGACTGAAAACGGCCCACTCAACTCAACCAAGTGTTTCATCAAAAAAAAAACTCAGGCCTTGTTTAGTTGAGTGAAAGTTGGGAATTTGGCTACTGTAGCACTTTCGTTTTTATTTGGCAATTAGTGTTCAATCATGGACTAATTAGGCTCAAAATGTTCGTCTCGCGATTTCCAACCAAACTGTGCAATTGATTTTTTTTTCATCTACATTTAATGCTCTATGCAGGTATCGTAAGATTCGATGTGATGGATACTGTAGTACTTTTTAGAAAAAGTTTTTGGAACTAAAGGTGGCCTCAACCAAGTGGCGTGTGCTTTTTCTATGTGCTCGCACACACTCACTGTTGGCCAACTCGATGAACACGAACCTTTGGGTTGTCGCGGTTTGGACTGGAGCGTGAAGTGGAACACAGACTACACGTGGGTTCAAAAGTCAGGAATTCGGGGGCGTGGATAGCTTTGGATGCCCGCGCCGCTGCACCTGCCTTAGTCTGCTGCACCCGCGCCGCTGAGCCTGCCCGCCCATATCTCGCCTTCTGTGCCTGCCAGTCCACGCCTGCTGTTGCTGCGTCCCCACTTGCTGCTGCTGCATGCTGCATGCTGTCGCACGCCAGCGCATAAACGTGGGGACCGCCCCGCGCCAGCGGAGACCACCTCTGTCTACCCTTGCTTCCCACGTCTGATACCGAAGAGAGGCAGCAGTAGGTGAGAAGGGAGATCTATGTTTAAAATATCCAGATACAACAATTACAATATACTTCTAAGAACAATGAAACATTTAAAACATAAGTCTAAAACACTCGCCAAACACTTGAAAAACACTTGAAACCATTGCAAAATGTACGTAACATCTAGATAAAACACTTGCAACATATGTGTAAAAACATATGCAACATCCAGATAAACACACTTGCAACATACGTCGGAAAAAATGATGAAACATTGAGAACAGAAGCTTGCAACATACGTGTACAACCATTGCAACATATGGAGCATCCGATCTATTGTTGCAACATCCATCTGAAACACTTGCAACGTACCTCTGATACATCTGACACACTGAAATATACGCTTGCAACATGTGTTTTTCACCCTTCTTCCGACGCACAGCAGAGCGGAGAACGGCCGATTCCGATCACCGGCAGCCGAGGATGGTGGCACGGCCTGAGGCCCGACCAGTGACAGCCAGCTGCACCTGCACCTGGCCTAGGCCCGGCCAGTGACAGCCCCTCTCTAGCGACTGGCCTGGGCGGGGCGGGGGACGGAGCACGACATGGCGTGGCGGGGATGGAGGTGCCACTACAGTCGCCAAGCACGCACGCATGGAGCTTGGAGGCGGAGGACGAGGCGCCAGCGACTAGCAGCGTACCTTGGTGGCGGATTCCTCCTCTCTGCGAGGGGCGGAGGCACCACGGGGTACGAGGCCTGGCGTCGCGGGGTGAAAGCCCTAGTTTGGTTTCGAATAATTAATGAAACTTAGTGTACTAACCCTTGTCATTAAGTGTTGTATATGAGATAGGATGGTACACACCAAGTGATGGAGCTAGATGATGGTGGTGACCAAAAGAGATGATCAAGTGCTCCAACTTAGAAAAGAAGAAAGAGAAAAACAAAAACCAAGTGTTGATTAAGGCAAAGGTATTAAATAGTTTTTTACTTTGGCACTCAAGACACTATAGAGGGTGCGAGTGTGTTTAGGATCGACAGTCGTACTATTAAGAGGGGAAAACCTTGGCTAAGCGGTTATCGAGTGCCATAGGTGAAGTCATAACTGCATATGCATTAGGACCTAGTGTGCTAACGAATTAACCCTTAGAAAATGCTTGAAAAATGCTAACACACAAGCACATGGGTTATACA